AAAAATTCTATGCATAGATTTCGTTAAAAAAGAAAAAAGAAATAAAATTAATAACGAAATATATAAAATTCAAAATAATTCTAAATAAAATTATATATAATTTTTATTCTTCATTACTTTAATAAATATAAATCTAAAATTTTTTGTGAAAAAAACATATGCGTTTCACAGCAGTGTGAAAAGATAAAGAAATGATAGGAGAAATGTAGGAAGAAAAAGAGATAACAATCCAGCGGGCCTGATTATTTTTCTCGTCCCTCTACGCGTCTTCTTTCACTCTCTCGCGCTTTCTCAATTGCTCCTGTAGCTTTAATAATCCTTTATTTACTGGTCGGCGGCGACACTCCGCGACATTCCAAAGCCTTCGCGCACAATTACTCGCGTTCCTTATCATCTACGACGTCGCGTAGCTCGACTGCGAAATTTGCCCAATCTAGAAGGAAGAAAGATTTATATTCCAATCTCGTGTATGTTTATAAATATAAACTATATATATTGATTTTGCATTATTATTATTATTATTATATATTGTTATATTGTCTCTGAAATTTATTCATTTGAGTTAAGGATGTAGACTCATATATTTCTGCAAATTATATTTCTTTATTACTGTAATAAATATATCTGGAATTTTTTATTAATATAATTAATTTTTTAAATGATATAAAAATTTAATTTTTAATTTAATTTAATTTAATTTTTATTATTTAAAAAATTCTAATTATGTAATAATAATGTAAAATAATTATATATTGCTATATATATAACTTTTTCTCTGAAATTTATTCTTAAGGCTGTAGACTCATATATTTCTGCAAATATGGTCGAAAAAAAATTATATTTCTTTATTACTGTAATAAATATATCTGGGATTTTTTGAGCGAAAAAATGTATGCGTTGCAGGGTGAAAAAAAAGAATTTACATAGGAGAGAGATATATAGAAAGGGAAGGAGAAAAAAAAAGAGCTTTCGATAGCCGCGCACTTTTTCCTTCTTTTAGCGTGGGACTGGTTCCGCGAGATATGTAAAGCGACACGTTTAGAGCTCCGCGATTCTTTATTAGACCTTTATTAGAGATTCGATCAAAGCCCCGATCGGAAAAATCGCCGACGCTAATCGGCCGAGCTAAGAATAGCCCATTCGTATAGAACAGGTTCGCAGACCGGACGCGAAAAAAATAGATGAATTGAAAAAAGAAAGGGATACGCGCGCAGGAATGTCACATTTCGTCTATTAATGAACGTTTGAGGAATTCTTCGTTTTTCTCCGCGTGAATTTTTTTACGGAGATTCTCCGTTCATCTCCGTACGAAGATAAAAATAGGTGAATGTGAATAAAAATTTGTTTTTAACGAAAAGCAGAAAGGGAGAGAGAGAAGTTCGCATTATTCCAGAAGAATGCAGCTTCTCTGCAATCATTCACGTTCCTCGATAGATAGATATTGTTTTTGAACATTTCTGACAGGTGTCAAAATTTTTCAAAAATATTTTTTTACATATATCTCACACTGAAAAAAATTTATTAAATTTGAATAAATATTTAATTCAATACTGACTTATAATAAATCATTTATTTGAAACTAAAATTTTTATTTGATGTGAAAATAAATATTTATTAATTTAAAAATGTTTTTGTCAGTGCATTTATTTTCGAAAATAGTAATAATTATTTCAATCACTTGTTGGGCTTAAAATATGTGGGAAAAAATTATAGAAAAAATGAGAAATTAAAATAAAATAAAAATAAAACAAAAATGCGGGATAAATCGATATACAAATGCGAGGCTGTATATGCCATGTGAAAATTATAGAAAAAATGAGAAATTAAAATGAAATAAACATGAAAAAAAAAAAAAAAAAAATGAATAGATGAGGAAATAAAATAATAAAAAAAATACGACGAAAAACGCGGGATAAATCGATATACAAATGCGAGGCTGTATACCGTGTGAAAATTGTAGAAAAAATGACAAATTAAAATTTCAAAAAAAAAAAAAAAAATATAATGAATAATTGAGGAAATAAAATAATTAAAAAAATACCCCAAGAAATGCGGGATAAATCGATATACGAACGCGAGGTTGGATGCCGTGTGAAAAATGAATAAGGAGCGTGCGATTTTGACGAATCTCGGCCAATGGGAACCTACTGCGGAAGGATTCAGATTCTCTTCGAGGAATCCGCAAGATGGTTTCTCTCCCGCTTCCAAGTCAGCGGAACATGACGCTGACATTGTTTTTCGCGCTAATGTATGCACATATCGACTTGGCTATACATTAGCGCTGAATCAGAATCAAGTGTACACACGGATCCTTCACCCCGCAATTAACATCTCGTATTATTATCGTCGATATATCTCTCTCTCGTTTACGCTATTTTCTTCCCGATCCGTATAACAGAGCCTCGCGAGATACGTCAAAGCATATATATATACGTATGTATATTATAATGCAAGCACGAGAGAGAGAGAAGAAAGAGGGATCATCGGGGCAACACCGGGAGCGTTATCGGGGAATTGCAAATAAAGGAATCCGCAAATAACACTGGGGCACTCAGTCAGTCACAAGAAAAGATCCATAAACAGAATCGCAGTTCTCGCTTTTTCTCTCTTGCTTGCTTTCTCGAAAACACGTTTATTCTCGCTCTTCTCGCATCGCGTTCTTGCTAATTTTTTAATTAAGTTCAGCACCAAGTCTAAGGATTCTCTCTCCCTCTCTTAAATTGTCTAAGGACGAGACCTGTTGCTTCATTATTTTTATCGGATCTCGCGGAGGATCCACCTGTCAAAAAGATATAGAAAGTGTCTGGAAATTGTATTAAAAAATCTTCACGAAAGCTTTATTTTATATAATTAAAATATATATATAATAGAATTTTATAAATATATATATATATATATATATATATATATAATTTTATAAAAGTTTCTCTGATTATAATTAAAATTAAAGGATTAAATATTAAATTAGAAATGAAATCTCTTCAGCAAATATTAATCAGTTTAATGCACTATTGAATTGATTAAAAATAATTCGCGCTACTATTTATTGCGTCCTATCTTTAATTAGCTCGTTCGTCCTTAGTTAGAGATTAACGACTATCATGATTTTTTGAAGAAATTTTAAGAGGAAAGTTTTCTCTGTGTAGACATGGTAATTAACTTTCAGTAAACATTTTGGGTAAAATTTAGGCATGATAACTAAATTTTAATATGGAGACAGTAAAAACTCAACTAAGGCTAATATTTTTTCTTTCCGCGAGTCAATCATTTTTTATTGCGGTAAATATTAATCAGAGAAACTCTTATCAAAATTCTTCCAATATTGTCTCACGATTATCATGAATTTTAAGATAAATTCTAAGAGAAAATTCTCTCTGTATAGATATGGTAATTAAATTTCTGTAAAAATTTTGGCCACATTTTTCTTTCTTACTAATTATACACAGAGAGATTTTTTTTTTAATTTACCCTGAAAATTATGTGGTAATCATGAGACAATATAATATTGGAAGAATTGTATAAAAGTTTCTTTGATTAATATTTGCCAACAAAAAATATTGATATCTACATAATAAAGATATAAAAAATGTTCGATTAATTTTACTATGTACATATTAATATTTTTATTGTAAATATTAATCAGAGTAACTTCCATCAAAATTCTTCTAACATTGTCACGATTATCATGAATTTCAGAATAAATTCTAAAAAAAAATCCTCTCTATAGACATGGTAATTAAATTCCAGTAAAAATTTTGTGTAAAATTTAGACATGATAATGAAATTTTAAATGTTCATATATAGACTAAAATTCAATGATGGTGGCTAAGATTTTTTGTCCCGTAAATCAATTGACGTTAAAGATATTAATATTTCTTATTGTGGCAAATATTAATCAGAGAAAATTCTTATAAGAATTCTTTAAAATTGTCCCACAATTACCATGAATTTCAGGATAGATTCTAAAAGAAAATCCTCTCTGTAGACATATGGTAATTAAATTTCAGTACAAATTTTGGCTTATATAAATTAGACATGATAACTAAAGACAGCTGAAATTCAATTATGGTGGGTAATATTTTTTGTTCTGCAAGTCAGTCGATGCCAAAGATATTAATATTTTTTATTGTGGTAAATATATTAGAGAAACTCTTATTAAAATTCTTCCAATATTGTCCTACGGTTATCATAAATTTCAGGATAAATTCTAAGAGAAAATCATCTCTGTAGACATCGTAATTAAATTTCAGTAAAAATTTAGACATGATAACTAAATTTTAAGTGTTCATATACAGAGTGTTTCAGAACTGGCGGAAAAAATTTTAATGGCAGATTCTTGGTATAATTTGGAGACGATTTTTCCTTAGTGAAAATCTTGCGAGGGAGCTCATTATGTTCCTAATTTTTGTTATTATGTATCGTTATACCTGTAACTAAGCCTTATATTAAAATTCTATTAAAGCAAACTCTACCTAAAATTAACTAAAGAATGTAATTCTGTTAATATTTTATTTCCACAAGTCTTAGTTTCCAAAAAAGCCTTTATTTTCAACTGCTTATAATTTGAAAATTACTGGTGTCTCGACATTTTCGCTGAGGAACAATCGCCTCTGAATGACACCAGGAATCTGCCGTTAAAAACTTTCTGGGGGACACCCTGTATAAAGATAGCTGAAATTTAATTATGGTGATTAATATTCGTTGTTCCGCGAGTCAGTCGGCGCCGAACCGAAGTCGGCGTTGAAATAATGACTAAAAACGCGCCTTTGAGGGGCGAGAGCGAGAGAGCGGAGTTTACGCACTCCCGGTGATACGGCGTCAGTTGTAGTACTATCTCGAAGCCGACGAGAGGAGACGAGAGCGCGCGCGAAGCGTGTTAAGATAAGAGAAGAACCTATTATACTCCGGGTGCTCGCGGCGCGCGAAATTGTTGCCGCGAGAACGTCTCCCAGCAGAGACCGAGAAAAAGCCCGGATCCTTTTAATCCTCCCTCGGTGCAGGGATTCGACTGGAGGATGCTGCTGTCCGGAGCCTGGTTCGAGATCATCGCCGCCGCGCTGCTCGCGATCCTGGTGCTGGCCACTGGGTACTGGCCGCCCTGGTGGTCCGTCTGGACCAGAAACCACAACGCAAACGTCGGTGAGTTGAGAGAATCCTGCGAGAGATCTTTCCCAGAGCTCCTCTTCGGTATATATATCACTTGGTCTCGCGATATCGGTCAATGGCACCGCGCACATCCTCCGTCTTCCTTCCTTTTCTCCCCTATAATCATTTTTATCGCTATCGAATGTTATTTACGAACGCTCTAGGTTCGAGTTTAAGGTTCCAGCAGCTACACTCACCGATCGTGTTCGAGTTGTGACGTCAGAGGCGAAAGCAGATATTTCGATGAAGCAGCACTTGGGTTTGGCGCACTCTTGAATACCTCCAGAATTATCCCTTTCCCTTTATAATCGATCGACAGCTGTGAAATGTCTGTAATTTGAGGTCTGGTTCGTCTGGTCTTTTTGCACGTGATCATTTATTACGATTGTTGATTGACTATTAAGGAAAAAGAATAGGTTTCGAGGTGTTTTAAAAGTGTGCTGAAGTAAATGTTTCACCGAAATATCATTTTTATTTATTTAAGAATTTTTAGCATGTGCTTTCTCGTCTCTGACGTCACAATCTAACATGACTGAGGATCCAGAAGCCTTAAGGCTCTTTTGGAATTGTGACGTCAGAAGCGAGAAAACATACGCTAAAAATTTTTAGATGCCATTTCAAAATAAAAAGATTTTAAAATACCCAGTAAACTATCCTTTTCCTTTTATAATCAATTAGCTGTAAAATGACTGTAATTTGAGGTCTAGTTTGTCTGGTCTTTGCATGTATATTTAATTGTTAATCGATTGTTGAGGGAAAAGGATAGGTTTCGATGTATTTTAAAAGTGTGCTGAAGTAAATGTTTCACCGAAATATCATTTTCATTCATTTAAGAATTTTTAGCATGTGTTATCTCGTCTCTGACGTCACAATCTAACATGACTGAGAATCCAGGAGCCTTAAGGCTCTTTTGGAATTGTGACGTCAGAAGCGAGAAAACACACGCTAAAAATTCTTAGATGCCATTTCAAGATAAAAAGATTTTAAAATACCCCGTAAACTATCCTTTTCCCTTTATAATCAATCAGCTGTAAAATGACTGTAATTTGAGATCTAGTTCGTCTGGTCTTTGCATGTGCAGTCATTTTAATTGTTGATCGATTGTCAAGGGAAAAGAATAGGTTTCGAGATATTTTAAAAGTGTGCTAAAGCCATCTGAAGTAGTGTTTCATCGAAATATCATTTTCATTTAAAACTGACACTTAAGAATTTTTAGCGTGCGCTTTCTCGCCGCTGACGTCACAATCTAACATTTGGTTGCGGCGAGGACTCGGGAGCCTTAAGAAATCGCGCGTTTCACAACTGATAACTAATGAATTGTAAATGTACAACGATATAGAGCGCAACACAATGTCACGATGTTACGCATCTTCAGCCTTCGTTTATATGAGGCTTCTTTGAGAGCGAGAGAAATTCAAGGAGAGGCAAGATGAGTTTTTGTAATATTGAACTTATTTTTTCTCTCGAACAATGCGGAGCAAAGAAAGGGTGCTCCGAGATTCTTCTTGCTCGATGAGAAATCCGATAAAAATTCTTTTCGCAGATGTGGGTGACAATGGCAGGAAACTCAAGACCGCGCGCGACGTCCCGGGTCCTTTCGCTCTGCCGTTTCTTGGCACCAGGTGGATTTACTCCCGTTTCGGCCACTACAGCCTGAACAAAATCCACGAGGCGTATAAAGGTAAAGAGTTTGGCCTTTGCCCTTTTATTCAAGACATTTTAATTCTGCGTTCCCCACTTTGATGCGAGTTAATGGCAGGGTTGGATAATAACTAGTTAATTAATTAAAGCTCTGAATACCATTATTGTTTTTTATTAGTTATAAATTATTTTTAAATTAAAGTATTATTAATTTTTATGTTCATTTGTTATCAAATGTAATGACCAAAAAATATATTTCTATATAAAAATCAAAATTTCTTTGTTATTTGTTATTATAAATTTTAAAGGAATTAACCAACAGAATTCTAATTTAAAATATAATGTTTTTAAAAATTAATTTTTTATTTAACTTCAGTTAATTTAATCTTAACTTAGTTTTAAAAAATCATTAACTTACCCAACCCTGATTAATGGTATCTTAAGGTTGCGAGAGAGAGAATGAGGGGTTCATTATGTGCTAATGTATAATTAACAATTTCGATTAATCGCATTGTATATGCGGGGGGTCTCCCCTTCACAAAAGGTCGCGCGATTCTAAATATGGCGGGTGAAACGTGTGTCGATCTTTTCAGAGGGTCAGGGTCAATGATACTCTTCCAATCTTATCGCGAGCGAAAGAGGAAAACGAGGGGACAAACCGCGAATGGCAAGAAGAATCCTATGTTTACGTCACGTCGAAAGTTGCTTATGTCACGTTACGATATAATTGGATTCGCGAGAAAATTGTTTGTGCAGAAAATGCATCGAATTTAATTGACGAATAAGTTATTATGTATTATCGAATTGCGCAACACTGATAATGCGCAAGTGATTCTTTGAATCATAACATATTTTTCTTCGTTTACTTTATATTCGTCCCATAAAATATCTCGATACGTAGACTCTTATAAAAAAATCTGTAAAATGTCGAAGAGGACATTGCACCAAATACATAGGATTTTAGTTTTCGGTGGAGTTGGCTGTTTTTTTTTTTTTTTTTTTTTCATATGTTGAATCTGTAATTTTTAAGATGTAATAGCCTCAAAGCTAAATATTCGATAGTTATTGAATTACAACTAGTCAAACAATTTGCAAAGTTCTAGTTCATGTTTGACTGGCTCTAAATCAATAATCATCTATTATTTAACTCTGAATCTATTACATTTTTTGGTTCATCATAAGTCATAAGTTACAATATGTGAGAAAATCAGCTGGAATTTACTGGAATTTAATTTCATTAAAAATTGTATAGCTTCAAAAGCTGGTTTTCTCATATGTTGCAGCTTGCAAAAAATAAAATAGATTCAAAACTTGGGGTCTTCTACCAGTTGTTTGACTGGCTGTAAATCTATTATTTAGCTTTGAAACTCTTACATTTTTTGTCCAGCAAGTCATAAGTTATAACATGTGAGCAAATCAGCTGATTTTATTGGGATTTAATTTCATTTTAAAAATTGTATAGCTTCCAAAACCCTGCACTAATCATATAAAATTAAATCTTGATAAAACCAGCTGGTTTTCTCATATGTTGCAGCTCGCAAAAAATGTAATAGACTCAAAACTTGGGCTCTTCTACCAGTTGTTTGACTAGCTGTATTCAGTAACTATCCAATACTTAGCTTTGAAGCTATTACATCTTTTGTTGAGCAGAAAAAGACCAGCAATTCCACCGAGAGTCAAAATCCTATCTATATTTGCGGTCCTTTAAAATCACTTGACACAGTCCTTTTCTAAGCTCTAGATTGAAGACAAGGTACCAGGATGATTGAATTAAAATAGGATCTAGATCTCGATCTCTTCCTCTCGTAAAAAATTGCTCCGTTTACGAGAGACGCGCTCCTTTTTTCTTTCATCATCGATATATGGTATTTTAATATGGCTCGTTATCCCGTGATTCAAGAGTAGATCTGAATCGGCGATACGGGTCGTTGTGCAAAGAGGAGGCGCTGTGGAATTGCTTCGTGGTGTCTGTGTTTGCCCGTCGCGACATCGAGGCTATCCTCAGGCGAGGCTCGCGATACCCGCTTCGTCCTCCGCAGGAGGTCATATCCCACTACCGGCGTTCCCGGACCGATCGTTACACCAACCTTGGTCTGGTCAATGAGTGAGTAGCCTGCAGCCGCTCTCGTGATTACGCTCGCCGCGGTATCGAGGTCAAGTTTAAGGTCGCCGTCCTGCAACTTTTCGGTTTATTTATATATCGATATACCAGGTGATCGCCTGGAACGAATTACTTCATCTTCTCGTTATACAAAAAATTTAATTTAAAAAACTGCAAATCACTATTCGCGTCATTTTTTATTTAGATTACTCATTATTACAATTTTTTATTTATTTATTTATCTTTGTTATTTTATTAAAAGTATTTTATTTAGATGATTTGTTTATAAGAATTTTATATTTTTAGGAAAATAAATAATACTGCGGATAAATATAACGAAAAATATAAAAAAATTATATAAATTAATTTTATGCCAGGCTGATAATTAATTAATTTGCGAGAGAATCAACGATGATTTAATATGACAGATATTGCTTCCTCGAATCGCTTAGGACTTTTACAGAACAAAATTGCGAAAGATATATATATATATATATATATATATATATAAAATCAATGATAATATAATCAATGATTTTATTATTCTTAATAGGCAAGGAGCGACGTGGCAAAAGCTTCGCGCCGCCTTGACTCCGGAACTCACCGGAGCTGGCACCGTATTCGGTTTCTTCCCGGCACTCAACATAGTCACCGATGGATTCATCGACTTGATCCGTAAACGAAGAGCGGACTTTACCGTGAAAGGCTTCGAGGAACTCGCTTACAGAATGGGACTCGAGAGTAAGTCATCGACATGCTTTCCCATATATTACATAGCGATTTCTTCATCTTGATTTGAAACCGTGCTACTATTCTTTAATATTAGAATGACGTCGCTTCGGAGCCGCGAGAAAATTTTTCCTTTTTTTTTTTTTAAAAAAGAGAGATTATAAAATACACCTTGTTTGCTTTTATTAAATCCTGATAACGCGTTATCTCGTTCCGCAGGTACGTGCACGCTGATCTTGGGACGTCACCTAGGCTTCTTAAAGCCAGATTCCAGCAGTACGCTGACAAGGAGATTAGCTGAAGCGGTCAGGATTCACTTCACGGCCTCGCGCGACGCCTTTTACGGCCTGCCGCTTTGGAAGCTGCTGCCGACATCCGCGTATAAGCAGCTGATAGAGAGCGAGGACACTATATACAAGTACGTCACATGTATACTTGTAATTACTCATTATCATCTGTGTTACGCTAAATCGCCGATCCCCTCGTTGAATCGTTAATTCGAGAGACACTTTCAAATAATTTAATTATTATTATAAATTTTATAAAGGACCCTGCACCAAATAATAGGATTTTAGCTTTCGGTAGAATTGGCTTTTTTCATACGTTGTAACTTCCTAGATAGCAATAGTAGTCATTTTGACATCAAAATAACGTCATAATAATTACTGTGGCTATCCTGGCTTATGATGTGCTGAACAAAAAATATATCCTGCGTATTCAGGGTGCAGGGTCCTTTTAAATTTATTTTTTGAATTGCTTCGACTATATAGTTTTATTAAAATCCATAAAAAGAGATTTGATTAGACCGAAGAGAATTTAGTTCAAAGAAAATATTTAATAATCACTACTTCTTATTGTCTTTTTTTTTTGCTTAGTATTATCTCGGAGCTTGTGGAAGCGACTGTGTTGGAGAAACAAAACGACGCCAGAGACGATTCCGTCGAGGCTGTATTCCTGTCTATTTTACGGCAGAAAGATCTCGATATGAGAGATAAGAAGGCCGCCATAGTCGATTTCATAGCGGCAGGGATACACACAGTGAGAAAACCACGTTGTACTAATTATGTAACTTGGCTGAGTTGTTAGATTTTGGCTACTTAAAGTATTACATAATTTGTGAGAGTATAGAAAAAAAAATTTGTTATCAACTTTATATATGTATTTAATTTATATTAATTTATTTCTGAAAAAGTTGTAATCTCTCTTTCGTAAGAGGATTCTAATTTTTCGTCCGACCTTCCGTTTTTTATTCATTATCTTCTTTTTTTTAACTTTATATCAATTCGGATTGTCAATCGCGATTACTACTACAGGGTTAAAGACACAGTCGTTGGACGTTTGCAGCTAGGCAACACGCTGGTGTTTCTTTTCAATTTGATCGGCCGTAATCCTGAAGTGCAGGAAACTCTATACAAGGAGGCGCAGTCCCTGGCGCCTCCCGGTTGCGATCTCACGGTGGACGATCTCCGAAAGGCCAAGTATTTACGCGCCTGCATCATGGAATCCTTCAGGTAGATCTCATACTAATTAATTTAAGGCTCCTGGATACTCACCGCGACCATCTTGGATTGATGACGTCAGAAGCGAGAAAATATACCATAAAAATTCTTGCGACGTACGTGAAAATAAAAATGTTTTTCAATAAAATACTGGTTGAAATGGATAGAACACACTTGTAAAATATACCGAAAACTCTTCTTTTGCTTGGGTTATCAATAAATAACATGTATATGTCGAATTAAATTGAGCCTAATCATAAGAACGAAAACCAGCTGTTTGACAGGTATCGAAAAAAATTAATATTTGCTTTCACATATTAAATTATGCCAAAATGAGAGTCTTTGGTATATTTTAACACCACGACAATTATTTTAAACACAAAAAGACCGCACTAAAATGAAAAATAACGCTGTACGTCGCAAGAATCTTTCGGGCTGTCATTTCTCGCTTAGAGAAAGAGAGAACTATAATCCTGATGTCGCTACCATCAAAATTTGGAGTTCTACGGCGAGTATCCAGGAGCCTTAATAAGACTGTTGAAAAACTTATTTTACATAATTCCTCTCTAAATACGATTTGTGTATATTCCAGAGTTGTGCCGACGACACCCTGCATAGCTCGCATCCTGGACGAGCCTATAGAACTGGGAGGGTATCGCCTCGATCCCGGAGTAAGTTTCAACATTATTTGTGTACGAATTTTTGGAAGAATACCAAATTCATCTTCGTCGAATTTCAGACAGTGGTGTTGCTGCACACGTGGATAGCAGGATTGAGCGACGACAATTTCAAAGACGCGTCCAAGTGCCTGCCGGAGAGATGGTTGAAACCTATGGCCCCTCACTCGCCTCTACTGGTGGCTCCCTTCGGCGCCGGTAGAAGGATATGTCCAGGAAAACGTTTCGTGGATCTCGCGCTGCAGCTCATTTTGGCAAAGGTGCGGCAAAGTACAGGGTGTCCCATAGGAAATTGCTGAACCTAATCATCATTTGTCATTTTTTAATGCATGCAGTTATTGAGAAAACAACAATTGTGTTGGAAAGAGGAAAGTCTATAGTTATAGTTTTTCATGGATATAAATAAAATGTTTGTATACTAGTTTATTTTATTGATAAAAAATAATGAAAAAAGTGCGTGCATTAGAAAATGACAGCTGATTAGTTACAGCAATTTCCTATGGAACACTCTTATACATAAAGAGGCAAATTTCTATATAAATTTCGGGACGAATTTGTATATGTAAATTGCGCACGAAAGAGAGATTGTACCCCTGTTGGTTAATTGGTTTTCATTCAGATCGTTCGTGAATTCGAGATCGTCGTCGAGGAAGAGCTCGATTTGCAGTTTGAATTTATCCTGGCGCCGCAAAGTCCCGTATCCCTCGGATTCCGGGATCGTATGTCGAGGGCCGAGATGACCTGAACATATCTTATTCGCGTTTTCGTCGGCGAACGTTTGCCGAACAATGAATGTTAAATTGAATGAACGAATGGGTAGGTTCGAATTATTATTGCGCCGTCGAGCGGGGCTTCGCACGTGCTTCGCTCACGACTTCCGGCTCGGCGCTCCTCGTTTTTTTCATCGATTGATTTCCGAGCGTTAGATTTTAGCGTTTGTGTATTATCTGTAAGATTCTTTTTAATTCGTTGAAAAGGAACTCCGTTCGTCCGAGGAGGGGAAGGGGTATTTGTCGTTATTTACTTAATGTTATAATATTTATATCTAGTTGTAAGGGAAGCGTAAACAATCGGGATCCTCTTACCTTTTAAGACATTGACGCATATATTGCTTGCAATGCCCTGTTATTATCATGTGTTATTCTTTTTCTTATAATATGCTATAAAATGAAAGTTATAGTCAAAACTCTCTTCTTGCCACGTCGAGCGCAAAAGATGAGTCACTTCGCATTCGTAATAAAATAATAAATTAATTTAAAAAAAGATGGGGTGGAAGAGACGGCAATGCAAATGCAAATATGCACGTGGATTTCTCAGTCACCTCATTTAGTTTTATTCACGATAACTATATATAATAATAATTAATAAAATAGTTAATGTACATAACACGCATGCAAAAAATGTTGATCTCGTATTTGTTACATAAAAAATTAAATATATAATTATATATATTATAATTATTTATATATTATAATATATGTATATATACTACATATTAAAATATATATTTTTTATATATATATTATATATTTTAAAAAATATATATATATATATGGTGTAATGTTCATTTATTTAATTATAATGTGATATTTATTTGAATTTTCTTTATTAAAACTTGCCAGAGTTATTTCGTACAGCTGTGTCAAAATCTTAATAATTGGGGTGACCGAGTTATCCCGCATCGTAAACTCATAAGATGGATTAGACGCCTCTTTATGGAATTATATCTTGTCAATGACGTAGGGAAAGCGGCAGATTTAATTATATAATTTATATAAATTATTTATTTCTCTCTCTCTAAGCTGCGCGCGCGTATATATATATAATTTATTTTCCGTTTACAGTGAAAGTAAGACGATCCCGATGTGTTGTCTAATATCGATTGCGCGCACCGATTGACTAGCTGTGGCTGAATTGTTATATTTACGTTACCGTACGAAAGATTTATACGCAACGTAATCCGTTGACTATCGAAAAAAATTCGTTTTTTTTCGAATTATTTACGCTTTTTAAAAAGCGTCGGTGCCGAATTATATCATACTTTATTAGAGAGCGATCTCATTAAACATCTCCGTCGGTTTTTTTTTCTCGCGCGGTTTTTCATGCAATTTTTGAAAATGGATCATTGATGAAAATGATCGTTGATTTATACACTTGTACATAAAATATGTAGATATTTCTTGTTAAAATATATAATGCGTAAAAAATATATATAGATAAAATTGTGAAATATATATGAAATTAAATGTTTGCAAAATTATTCGGCAAATCTCGTTTTTTTAATACTTTCTCGCATTAAAGTATGTATAGTTAATTGTAAATTTATATTTAAAATATAACATTGCGTATGTATTCCTTCGATCAAATTTCGAATTGTATTATATTATATTTATATATATATACCATCAATGTAAATGTCTGTTAATTTATTGTATCGGACATAATTTCTACAATATAATATATTTATATCTTTGTGTTAACGCGGTAAGAATGATTACAATATTTCGTACGTATATTATATTAGTCGCGAATATGTTACATGTAATTTTATAAATATGTATTCTAAGGAAAAACTAGAAGGAAAACTCCCGCAATTTGGCGTCAAACATAAAGTTCGGGATGTTCCTTAAAGTTTCCTTGGTCATATATAAAACGTAGGTCGCGCGTGCTAAAGCTGAAGATAAATTTGATTATCTTTCTCTTAAATCGAGCAATTTTTGCATTGTTTGGTGTGGTAGTGGCGTATAGTAAACTAGAATAATCTTACTTATTTTGGCTTAACACTGTGAGACGATGTAATATATAAGCGAGAATAATAATAACAATTTTTATTACGCAATCTTGCGAATTCTATCTTACGATAACCATCGATCAGCTGTTCGGCTGTCAAACGTTGCTTGATTTGTTATTTTCCTAATTGTAATTGTTAAACGAATAGACTTTCTAAATTCTCCAAGCAACGTTACAAATACGATCTTGTTTTCTTGTTCGAAGAAGACGCATCATTTCACCATAGCCTTGATACTCTTCGGGAGGTTTTGGATGGAACCCTTGTTCACGCTGGCAGCTGTAGGCCGCATAAAACTGTGACTCTTCGACCCAGCTCGCGGCTGGATTAATCTACTCCTCGTATTACTGGACATCTTATTACCGGTGATCGCTGATCGATTTCCCAAGATCGACTGCTGACCGATGCTGCTCCCGCTGCTGCTGCTGCGCGAGGTGATGGGCCGACTCCTCGTGACCTTTGGTATGTCAGACACTATCTGTTAATTAACACGTAAAATTTTGTGTAAAAACCTTACCAAGGTCTATAGATATATATTAATATATTTAATATAGAATTATAATACATATATAATATGTAATATAATATAAAATATTTAATCTATTTAACATATAAAAAGTATATATTAAATATATATATATATATTAATATATTTATATTTTTTTCAAAAACTTTCTAGAAATGATCGAAACTGGAACCAACCTCCGGAGCCTTGCGAAGACTTCTCACTGTCGGACCAACGCTGCTGCCGCTACTGCTGCTTCTGCTGGCAGGTATCCTGCTGACGCTCACCTGACGAGGACTCAGACGTCTCTTGTCGACGACGTTCTTCGGCGGCAGCGGACTGCTCGACGGGCTGCTCTTCCTGAGGTCGTTGGTGAGCGCGCGAATGGCCGAGGTGTAGCTACGCAGATGAGCGTGATTCGTGGCCAAATTGCGTACCGTGTTCACGGACGTAGCACTGTTCAGAGAGCTCCGGGAGCTGCGTAGGCTGCTCCTGGAACCGGAACGTTGCACCTCGTTCTTCAACAGAGCTCCTGGATTACTCGCCTGGCCGTTCGAGGTCTTCTTCAAGGTCTTCTCGTTCTTCCTCAGCGCGGACTCGCGTTTCGCACCTGCAGCTCTTGTCGGCAGAAAGCTCGATTTTTCCGACGCGTTTCTCGGGGTCTCCTTCTTGCCGAAAATCTTCCCCGAGCTTGGCTTCACTAACTTGTCGATGGACAAGGATCTTCGACCATGACTGTTCAAGTCATCATCGTCGTGCATCGTCTTCGTGACGCTACGTCGATGCTGGTCCCCGCTGTAGCTCAGCTCTGCCGGCGAGCACCTCGTCGAGTCGTGCGTGTCCGTCTCGTAATTGCCAGAGGACGTCTCTTGACTCAGAGTCTCTGAAACGAGGCTCTGCGTCTCCTCGAAGCCTTCGTCATTCAGCTCTTGGTCTCGGCTGACCTTGCCGGATGTCGGCGGCGGCGACGACGTCACGCTTATATCGGGGATAAATCTGCTGCGGAACATGGAGTTCTGCCGCGTCATCGTCGACCGATCGCGAAGGTCGTCCACGGATCGAACGTCCTTCTCCAGGCTTCCTTCGACGCTCCTCGAGTCTCCTGCGCGTTGCTCGTCTTCCCTCGTGATTCTGGAGACGTCGTCTCGCTCGTGCAGCGAGTTCTCGCTGCAGAAGTTGTTCCTGCTCGACGTCTCCCGCTTCTGGTTCACCTGGCTGGGTGGATTGCTGGTCAAGCGGACCGCTTCCTTCACCTGGCTCGGATCGATCATGCTCCGGTGACGCTCGCGACTCGTCACCGCTCGCTCTGCAAGCACCGTGACGGCCTCGCGGGGTCGCGACTCCTGCATCACCGGACTCAGCACCGTGTTGCTCACCGCTACCACTGGCGGCGGAGGCTGACTGATCGGCAGTCTCGAGGTCCTGTGGCTCGTCGCGGTCATCGTCGCCGGCGTCTCCGTCGTCTTCGTCGTCGAGAGACGCTGCAGATCCTCGCCGGAGCGCGCGATCTCCGCCAGCGCGGCGTCGATGTCGCGCGACGACGACGAGGCGACGATGTCGCGCCGCTTCAGCTTGTCCTGCCAGATACGCAGCATGACGTCCTCGTCCTCGCGGGTGCCCTCGTCAGCCAGGGCGAGGGTGCTGGGTCGTTGCATCGCCGGCTTTTCGTCGCAGATCAACTCGGGACTCGACACGTCCTTGTCACCTGCCGAATCCTGAGTCTTCTTGTATCTACGAGTACGACGCGTCGCCGAGTACCTGTCGAAGTTGCCTGAAAATAATTATGAGCACGATTATCCTCTCATTCTATTAATATAACATTATTTTAATAATATATAAATAATATAACATAAAATAATATAATTATATTAATGTATTAATATTATAATAATAATAATATAATTATATTAATATTATAATTATTTATAATATATATTATATAGATAATCCTTCTTTTTCTTTTTTTTATTTACCGGTACCGAGATCTGAGGCGATGGGTTTCAGGATCGCAGTCTTCATTTCTCGACTCTGGAAGGAGCCATTGCAACGTTCTCTTTTGCAGGGCTCCTTCTCCACGGGTTTCACCTCCTTCGGAGGACTAAACAGCCGTCTGGTCGCCGGCGGCGTCTCGATGTTGTCCGAGTCAATCTCGATCTTGTCGCTGATTCTTTCCTCGTCCGCGGTTTTCTTGCTGAGCTTCGAGAATCGCCGGGTTGCGGGCGCTTGCGATCCGGTGTAAGGTTGCCGAAGATAAATAGTCAGTTCGTCCTGGGCGTCCGTGTTCAGAGTGTCGCTGAGCTTGTTCTTCTTCCTGTCCTCTTCTCTGATCGCCTGATAAGCATATCGCATCGTGCAATTTCAATCTTTGCAACCTTATTATGTTGTTAAACATTCTTCTGCCAAAGACTTGGCTTAAATAATTATTATATTTACCTGCAGTGTACTCGGGACGAGAGCGTTCTCCGTACTGTGTCTAGATCTAAATCTACGGGAATAACGCGGATCAGTCTCTTCCATACTATTTGGTACGTTCAAGCTCGACTTCCGCCAAGGAGACTTGTCCTGCGACGAGAGCGGTTGAGCTTCTGAAACGAAAATACGCACTTGGAAAGCTTACTCAATGATAATAAAAATAATACAATAAAATTGCAAATAATAAATCTAATAATATAAATAATAGATAAATATAATAATATCAAAATAATAGAGAATAATATAAATAATAATAAGATAATAAAAATAATACAAAAATTGCAAATAAATTTAATTCTTTTTACAGCGAACGCAAGGAGAAAATTCCTTGGACTTTTATAGAAGTGAAAAATCACCTTCAATGGCCTCCATCGTGCGCATCACATCCGTCTTCTCGACGGACGGTCGCCAGTCGTAAACCCCGGAGAATTCTCCTTCGTGCACGGATCGATCCTCCGTCGAAGGGTTCGACGCGCCTTTGCCTTCGTTTTCTGCAGAGCCGAAACGTGTCTCGCATTCAGATCCAAGTTTAATATTTATGGAAAGTAAAGTCTCCGGACACTCACCCGAGTCTTCGAAGGACCGTCGGTTCGCCTGGTGCAATTGCTTCGCTCTTCTCTGAAGCTGCTCGCCCGCGCGATCCTCTTTCTCGTTCTCCGACAGCCACGCCTCGATCTTTTGCCGCCAGGCTTTCCTGATCGATGATATATCAATTAATTAAACTCTTGTTACTCTTTTCAAGTCTTTAAACATAAAAATAACAGCAACAAAATCGTTTTCTCAAGACTGCACGAATTATCCCTCCAACTTACCCGGTCGGCTTCGCTTCCTCCTCCTGCAGGAACGGCTTGCTCTCTGCGAGGGGAGACGGCGAGCTCGGTCGTTCCCGATCTCCCGAAAAATCGGCGTTCAGGAGGTCGCCTCTTCGCGACTGTCCACGAGCTCTTCGCGCCCACGATCGATCTTCGGAACAAAAAAAAATATATATATATATATTTTATATATAATTATAATTATATAATGTATTTTATATATTATATATATGTATAAATATATATTTAAAAATAATTAAATTAAAATTAATGAATGAAATTCGTTGGTGTCAACTGGCAAATTAGATACCTAAACTTCCCCACGATTTTCTCTCCCGCGTATTGTCCTGTCCGGATGTTCGCAAGAAATCCATTAGATTTCCGTCGTCATCCTCGCAGGGTATTCTGCTTCTGCGCCTACGAAGCGTGCCGTTAGGCGTGATATCTGTAGAATAGGAGAAATAATTATACCTTGGAATACATATTTCGAAATGTTTGGGTTGTACAAAGACAGACACGTTACTCGGAATGTTTATTCCTGAAAACTCGAACTATATGATAATGTATTATCTTGTTCAACAAAGTTTCTAACTCCTTTACAACTTCTTTCAATACGCGCACGTAATACCTGGCGAGTACGTGTCCTCTTTGGTAGATTGTTGATCAGGACCGCCTGAACATGATCCTAAACGACGTCGGATGCTGGGCGATCCGACGATGGAGACGTCCTCGTCCGACGTGACTCCGCCATTCTGCAATCTTCTCATCTGGAAACATCGTCGAAGATCTTTCATTCTGATCGTATACAAAATTAAAAGACATATGCGTATGTATGTCTTTAGAACAGACTAATAATTTATGAATTGATCATAATAAAATATGCTTATTCGATTACTTCTGCGTAACTTTTACACGATTAAATGTAAAATTATACCGAAGCTAATTTTCTACTTTCGTCCAAAGTGTCCATTCGTATTTAAATTCGCTGTCGCCGAGAGAACACGCTGGTTACAACGAGAATGTTAAGTAGATGCTAAGCAGATGGCAAAATTTACCTTGGCCTCGCCGCGGCCGTAATTTCTCTGAGGTAAACCGGTATGAAGCTCGAATAGCCCATAGTCCATTAGGTTGGACTCGGATTCCGAGCCTGGTGTCTCCGCTTGACTGCTCACTGCGCAATGGACGAACGCACATTTATTAAAAGAACAGGACAAAGAAGAAAAAAGAATAGAAAAGCACACTAGATGTTGCGAAAAATAAACTAAACATTTATCAATCTTAAGAATACTTTAAAATGTGTACCAGGTACACATCGTTGCTTGGTATAAAAAATAATTATATATATATTTATATATTTACGCAGTCGTTTTCTCGCTAACAGCTGTTCCTCGCGTTGTTTGCGACGCGCCAGGACCTGCTCTTCCTGGATACGTCGCCTCTCGTTCTCCGCGATCGCCTGATTAAACTTTTGGCAAAACTGATGAAATATCCTGAAGCATTCTTCGATCTTGAACGCGCTCGTGTCCTCGCAAAAGAATTCCGCCAGCGATCGTCTCACTCCCTCGAGCTCTTCCATGTCCCTCTTCAACTGCGCCATTTCTTGTTCGGCCATCTGCGAAAGAAACATTTTATTCAAGTGTGTTTTAATTGTTTTCTTTTTTTATTTATTTCATGTATTGCGATATTTATTTAGATTTGTTGCATTTCTTAATATACCTGAAGAAACTGTGCCATTTGTTCCTGTATATCGTTTTCGGTCGAGGAGAGCTGAATTTGGCCTTTGATCTTTTTAATCTTCGTGTCCAAAGTGTTAAATTCGTTGTTAAGTTGCTCAATCGTGGTTCTACAGGAAATGATTTATTGCAAGAATTAGTGTTTTTCTCTACATAAATATTATACATATATAATAATATAATGATTCCTTACTTTGTCGCTGCTTCTAAGGCAGTCATATTTTTTGCGAAATTTAGCAGATCCTTTCGTTTTCTTTCGGCTTGCTAAAGTAACATACAATCAAAATTATGTATGTATTGTATATTATAATCGACAAAAAAATTAATCTGCATTTTACCAATGCCACGTAGTGTATCAGATTCATCCCCGGTTTGTTCGCACGAATTTCCGTCAGCTTCTGCAACGAGGAAAGCTTCACGCCTGCCGCATTGCCAGCGTAACCGCCCTGCAAATATATATAAGTAATAACATTCGATAAGTAAAAATTGATTCGCTTATCGGTGAGAAAATGCGTACAGAGTTGAGGAAGTTTCCGGCGACCAAAACCATGTACAGCACTTCCTGGAGAGGCTTGTTCGTCATGAGGTCCTCGCCGGCGAGTATCATCGAGTTGATACTTGGCTCCAGGTAGCTCATATTCGCGGCGAATTCTTCCTTCAGCAGCATGCACTCAATGCGCAGCTTATAACTGTATGTATCCATTAAAATGAATATAAATTTCTTATATATATAAATTTATTATAAATATATATATAATTATTAAATAAATAAATTATATATATACAATATATATAATTAAAAAATTAAATACATGTAAATAATTATATATATATTCTTTTTTAATTATGTATTAAATGAAGAAATGACAAACTATATTACTTTGGCACTTGAATAAGCTGCAGGAAGAACTTCTCGGCGTTACCCAGCTTCGACTTGTCGCCGTCGAAGCTTTTGAGCATCTCGAGCTCGTCCACTTCCGGCAGTATCTTCAAAAGTCCACGCAGTTTCTCCGCGCCGATGTCATCATGACCACCCTCCTTGATAAGCTGAATTATATCCTCGTTCGAACTAATAAAAAAAAATATATAAAATATATTAATATCTTTTTCAGTTTGTAACAGTAATATATTTTCACTCCCTTTCTCTCTTTCTTATCGTACCTTCGGAATTGCTTGAGGAAGATGTTAACGTTCAAGCTCCTTTTTCCATCGAGTAATGCAATCTGAAATTGCAATAAAAAAATAATACACTTAAGAGACTCTCAGTATATCATACTGCAAAGTAAAAATAGTAAAATAAATATAAATAAATAGTAAAATATTAAAAGCACCGACCTCCGTCGGTTCTCGACGACGTCGTTCGACGTCGACTCCGGTGCCGCACGAGGCCGAGTAGGTAGCCGGTGGCATTAACGGGGGCACTTGTTGACAGAAGAGGCCCTCCATCTCGGCCCAGTCCAGGTCCGCCATCGGCGAATTCTGATGCTCGTTCGCCACCAGGGACCAGATGTTCCGCTTGCCGATCACCTGGTGATCGATAAAGGAATCAGAAAAAAGGTCCTCCTTTCATTACTCATCCCTCTTTCTGACTTCTGATACCTTATGATTGGGTATCTTGTTCCAGTTGATAGTCTTCATTTTCGTCCTGGGGGCTGGAATCTCCTGCTGCGGCAGCAGTCTCGCGTGACTGCTGGGTGGCTCGGGGGTAAGCGCGCGCTCGACGGGAGCCACCCGCAAGGGAGGCGGCATCGGGGGCTCCATCGGTGCGGCGGCGATGTTGACGACGTTGACGAAGAGCGGCGGAGGTGGAGGTGGTGGCAGGACGAAGCCGCTCGGTGGTGGATTTGGGGGACCTGGCGGTGCCGCCGGAATCGGAGGTGGCGGCGGCGGCGAACCGCTGCTGGCCGGCAGCGACGCTTTCCTCGACGTCCCACACGTCTGATCGGCGCCGCGGCAGTGACAGCATAGATTCGTCTGGAAATATCAAGCATTTTTTTATATATGTACCTATCTCTGGTTTTCTCCTATTTTTAATCCTAATCTTCTCACGTGTAGGGCTTCTCTGAGGATTTCTCTATAGGTTTCATTAATTATTAAGGATCATATGTGTTTATTTATTTAATTAATTATATTTATTAATATATTTATTTATTATTAATTTTGTTTTAAATTCTATATATTACCGTAATATATATTTGATTACACATTAATTGTAAAAGTTAATAATTTATTAATAAGTTTATTATAAGAAATCCTTTCCACGTTTATGGCTTGAATTTCTATTATGTAAATAATTTTAATTCTTCAATTTCTGTTATGTACATAATAAAAATTCGAGGATTAAAATTATGCACGTAATGGAACTTTAAAAATTAAAATTATGTACATACATAATAAAAATTCAAGAATTAAAATTATGTACATAAAAAAATTCGAGAATTAAAATTTTGCCAATGCATAAAATATTTCAGCAAGACTTATAATGAAGTATATCATCGCATTCTTTATCGTTCGAATTTAGAACGCACAGTAAAACAATCGAATCTCAATATCGAATAATATAATAATAAAAATCGAATTTTCCAGGGAATCAGGTTTTTCGTAAAATTCTTTACGGAAGAAACGCATTTACGTGCGCGAGTGCAGGCTTCGTGATTCATCGACACGAGGCGTGGTACGAGTTTCTTCTTTTATGGACTCGCGTCTTTCGGTCAAGTACGGTCAGAAAAGTAAAAGTGTACACGACGGCTCTGTTGCACACACGTGTCGTCGTGTTATATTAGTTTGCGTTAGCAGGGTTGACATTGATGATCATCCCGATGATCGCGAAATTTTCAACGATCTGATGTAACACCACGATGTAAACCGAGGTCCTCTTCGCGATTGCGTAATCGGCGAAAGTCTTGTAGTTGGGTGGAATCGATAAACTTGAGGACTTTTCAATGTAAAGGATGAATCCGATCATGTGTCTGTCTAAGAATGCCCAGAAGCCCGATTAAAGATTAAAGAAGAGACGTTGTTGCGAAACGTCAAGTTAGGAAACCTTTTTATTCTGTGGAATATCCAGATGAAATGTCAAGTAACTCACTTGAAGACTGGGCGATCTCAACAATTTCGTGGCATCCTCGCGACTCTCCAGCAACGTGGCTCGGTGCACCAGGGTCTCGGCGATGTCCCACGCCAGATCACTGGCGGCGTCTTTCGGGTCCAGTCGCAGCAGATGCTGCAGGACGCTCAGAAAGGGTATCTCCTGCGGCGTGTCTGCAACCTGAAAAAGAGAGTATGCTGCGTTTCATCAGACGTCTCACTTAAACGCTAGCTCTATCAGTCTAGTCTCTTCAAACAGCTCTTGGCCGATGATTGATCGACTGACGTGGAGGTTTATAATAGCTAATAATCGAAACGCTCTTATTTTGAAGAGACGAACGCTTTAAAAATGAAAAAATCCCTAACATATCCGAAAGATATATCCAGAGAAGGTTTAGATGTCTTCTGGATATTCTCAAACGGCTTTCAGATTTGTTGAACAATATATTCCAAAGATATTCCAAGGATATTCTAGGATATCCTCTGCTTCTGAATATATTTCGGATTGTAATCCCTAACAACACAACCTATCCGAAATACGTTCAAGGATATTCAAGGATATTCTATAGATTCCTACTTATGGACATCCTCTGAACGTCTTTCGGATTTGTTGAACAATCCTTAATAACATAACTAAACATCCATGTGATATTTAGAAGTAGAGGATATCCAGGATGTCTTGATGTCCTCTGGATATCCTTGAACGTCTTTCTAATAGATAAATCCAATAAATAGATTGTGCTGTTAGGGATTGTTCAAAAAATCTCAGAATATACCTAAAAGATACTAGAAGCAAAGGATATCTTAGGATACTAGAAGCAAAGGATATTCTAAGATATCCTTTGCTTCTAGTATCCTCTGGGTATATTCTGAGATTTATTGAACAATCCCTAATAGCACAATCTATCAGAAAGACGTTCAAGGATATCCCGAGAACATTAGAACATCCTACGGATATCCTCTACAGAACATCCTATGGATATCCTATGAACATCCTTTAAATGTCTTTGGGATATGTCGTGCTGTTAGGGATTGTTGAAAAATATTAGGAATCGAGTATTAGGAATGCCGGAAGTGTCGCTCACTTGGCCGAGGATGGCGTAGAAGACGTCCACGTGAGAGGAGAGATCGATCCCTGGCGGTCCTTGATTCGCGAGCTCCTCGTCCGTCTCCCGTTGATCCTCGAAGGCGTCGAGCTGCACCCTCACGTCCGGCGCGTGACTCTTCCTGCAAGAAGAATCGCCACTTTCCTCGATGATCCAGAGGATATATGTATGTATTTCAAGCCGAACAACACATAGAGTTGTCCGCGCTCTATTTCCGGCGCGCTCGACCGCGAGCTTTCTTTAGAAATTCAATTTCTATTTCGGTAAATTCTCTTCCTCCTCCTTCCTCGAGGCACATTTTCATATGTTTCCATCCCCATATTTAATAAGTATATTAACATTTATTTATGATGAAACTTGAGACCAAGTTTTTATTGCCAAAAATCAAAGTTGCCGATGAAGATATCAACGCAAACGTCAGAATTTCTAGGTGAAAAAAATCACTGTCACACACGAGCAATCACGAATTCCTCCGTGAGACGTCTGAATAGTTCCGTGAACGATTCTGCCACCTCAAAGTGCACGGAAATAGTCGTCGAAGATCTCGAAAGAACCTCCACCGGCTCCAATAAATAGATCGAAATATACGAAATGCCAGAAGAAGAGAGGAAGACGAACTGGATCGCGAGAAATTTGAAATAAAATGAGGATCCGCACTTTTACTTGCGGCACATTTATAATAAAATATATGGAAATAAGTGTACGCATAAATTCTGGAAGAATGCAAAGTTTAACAAGATGAAATAACGCGGAATGCGCTAAATTGGTGATTAGAGGATCAAGAGAGAAAGAGAGATGACAGACGCAATTAAGATTCGAACGGAGAGATAGGTCGAGCATCCAGAACAGTCTGGGAGAGACTTCCAGCGCGTGTCCTACCAGAGAGTGCGTATACCAAAATACTCGCCGCACGACGCTCCAATCCTGTCATCGATCTTCGCTACGAGCAAAACAGAAGCGGATAAAAAGGAGCACGAGAGAGAGAGAGAGAGAGAGCACACGGCCGTGACTCACGGGAAGCAATGCCATGCGTTGTTAGAACAAAAGGAAGAAAAACGGAGGGAATTCTCGAAGACCGTGTCTCTTCTTAGGATACTTGAAATTTGTATGCGCCTCGCGCTCTATAAACGAATATAAATGGATAAATGTGTACCTAAAAGAAAAGAAAAATATTCTACATTCCGACAGAGTCGCCAAAATGCGAGAATAAACATCAATTTGGGGTGGAATGCCTTCTATCTTTTTTCTCGAGTTGTGCTACTAGGAGTCCCAATTTCACAAAGAATTATTGTATAATAATTATTATTAAAATTAATTCTTTTTTATAATTATTATATTTATAATAATTATTCACAATAATTTATTATGTATAATAAATATATATATATATATATATATATATTTATAATTTATAATAATTATTACTATATAAATATACTAATATAATTAACATAATAAATATAATTTATAAATTAATTATGAATATAAATAATTATAAAAGAGAACAGTAATATAATCAAAATTATTACATTTATAATAATAATTATAAAAAATAATAATTAATATTTTTCACGAAACCATCCGATATGTGCAAGAAAAAGATTTCGCTAACGTGACGTGTCTCCCTTTTTATTCCTTACCGCTGATGGACGTTAAACGCATCGTTGCTGAGATGAAGAAGAGAGAGATGATGACGACGACGACGTATGTATAATACGAATGCGACGACGACGGCGGCATTCGATCACACGGATGCGGAGGAGAATGCAACGCGGAGGACCGATGCGTCGCGACGGCGGATGCATTTCTGGCGACGCCACGCTGGAGCGACGACGACGACGTCGTCGCAGGTGCATCGGGGTGCTATGGTGAGGAGTTAATTCGGGCCTCTCTCGACCTCTCTACAACCCCCTCCCCTTTCTTCGCGATTTCGCGGCTTTTTTTATTCCTCCTCCCTCTCCCTCACCCTCTTGATTTTATTCAAATATTTATACATTTATCTTTTTATCAATTAAATCATTTATTATAATCAATGTTGTGCTTATATTGTTAGATGATTTTAAAATAGTTAGATAAAGATGAGATAAAAATATGTAAATTTTTATCTTGGATGAAGATGATTTTGTTTTAAATATATTTAGATAAAAGATGAAATTATATGGCGATTCATCTAGATAAAAAATTTTTAAGATTGCTTATGTAAACACAGTTATAAAAAGATGTAAATTATAAAAATATATGTATTCATATTTTTCTTTATTCTACTATTTAAGCATTTTTGTGTGCTATGATTCTAAACCAAAATTATTCTAGATAATTTAGTAAAGATAATACTTTTTGCATCTAAGATGCATATTTTTATTATCAAACACTGATTATAATTAAGATTATCTCTCTCCTTTTCTCTTTTTCTACTTCTTTTTATCTTCTTCATTCGCTGAAATTATGCAGAGAAAATATACATATAATATATGTATAATTCTATTTCTTGGCCATTTTGATTATAATGAAGGAATTAATTTCTCCGATATTCCTAAACGCTGAATTAATTCGGCATAAATTTTTCGATATATCTCTTCTTTGGACTATAAAAAGGCTATTTCAATTCGATGTAGAAGCGACTTTTTCAAGAAAGAGATACTGATCGATGATCGAACGGAGATTTTTTTTTATAGATTTGTGTGATTTTATTCTTTGCACGGTAGAAGAAGGAAATGATTAATAATCGCATAATTACGCCTTATATACGCATACGAATGTGTACTTTGAGCATAATAGTAGCGGCTGTTTGCTCAATAAAACGTGTACTGATAAGCGAATAAGTACACAATCGCAAAACGTTTAGCATTAACACCTTAAGAAATGTAATCAAGAATCTCTCTTTAAAAAATGAATAAGATTTAATCTGAAATAACAATTACATTATTTCATCTCAATGAAAATTAGCAAAATTGCTTATGAACATATATATACATCCCAAAAACCAGAAAATTCTTGGATCCATTTGCAGACGATTTTTCCTTAACAAATTGACTAAAAAAATCTGACTTTAAGAGATCAAATAATTTTGGAATATTCTGTATATAAAATAGTACAGAGATTTTAATTTTTATTTTCGTACGCAAGAGCAAACTAATGAATTTTTTGCCATTCGAGAAATGATGAGAAAAAATTAAATAATGATTTGCGATTTATTTTTATTTATTAAATTATTCGGATTAATATGCATGCAAATGTGTTAGTATTAAGATTCGTCCCAACGGGATATCCTCCCTCGTTAATGAACCGTGAATCCTTCGTGTAATTATCTCTAACTCTAATTACACGAAGCACGCGACATTAAGCGACGTGCGAAGAAGACGATGTGGGTACAATAAAGCGTCTCCTTTCGTTCGCACATTCATTATTTATTCCACAACGTCAAAGTGTTAATTAATTAGCAAATATCGCGAATCCGGATAATCGTTATAATGTACTCACCGTAGCTCGTTTAGAATCGGCAAGAGTTTGAGGCCTGAAATGGAAATCGCATGTTGAGCTCTCGTCTGTAACGATGTAACAGAAACGCAGAATCCAAATTCGCAAATATTTATTTCATTTGAATTTATCTTAAACGCAAAAGAAATTTAATAACAATTATATCTATATTATTTTATCTTAATAAAAATCAGCAAAATTACTTATGTAAGCAGGGTATCCCAAAAATACCGATTAATTTTTTTTTTTTAAATTGGAAACAATTTAAAACGACTCGAAAAAAAAGAATGACAAGAGATATAATAATAAAAATTCTGTTCTACTCATTTTTGATGAAAACAACTCTGGAGAAGACGCGCGATTATATATCGAGCAGACTTGAGATGAAGCAACGAGGAAGTCGCGATCGAGAAGACTCGATATATTTCTCTACTCACCGATAAACTCATTGCGTATGCGTATGCGATCCTTGAGCACCGGCGTCGAGATGACCAAACAATTTATGAATGCCAACAGTGCGGTCTGGTAATCCTCCGCTGTCGCCTTCTGTAGCTCGTCGACCACGACTCGCAATCGATAACGCTCGCCCTTTCGTTCCTACACACGTCCGAATATATAAATCTTAATACAAGAATTGCCTCTTATCGTCGCTCGTCTATTCCTGGAAACATCGCTTCGAAGGAACAAAGACGTCGGTCAATGTTCTCTCCCTTTCGCATTCAAAAAATTACTCAGCTCGCAAGCACGCGTCATTTTGACGTCTAATGACGTCATCAGATGTCAAAATGACGCAGACTCGGATATAGCAAACCGACGTCATTAAACGTCAAATAACGTCATCGACGTCATTAAACGTCAAATAACGTCATCGACGTCATTAAACGTCAAATAACGTCATCGACGTCATTAAACGTCAAATAACGTCATCGACGTCATTAAACGTCAAATAACGTCATCGACGTCATTAAACGTCAAATAACGTCACGACGTCATTTTGATATCTGATGACGTCATTAGACGTCAAAATGACGTCAATTATATCATCAGATGTCAAAATGACGTCGATGACGTCGGTTTGCTACTTGAGTACTCGCGACTATAATTAAACCCTTATTAATCCTTCTGTCAATGCATAATTTTACGCTTTAAAAAATCCACTTTTAACATTTAAAGCTGCCTTGGTTACCTGCTGGCTCATTGACAGAAGGGTTAAACAGAAGAGTTAAAATCAAATTGCCGATTTCGAAAAAACATTTTAACCCTGCGGAAAAATTTTCGAATCCGCAGTTTCTTTGGCAATCGGCAATTTTATTGAGAGTTCTGAGAGTTCTAGTCTCCCGAAGAGTTCTATCAATTACCCTAATTGTTTAATGCGCTAAAGTGAATAGAAAAAGTTATACGACTTCAAAGTTAGAAAAAAGTGTGAAGTTTAATAATTTTGGCAGTCAGAACTTTAATAATTTTTTCAAAATTTAAAAAATGGGGAGCTAACTTCACATACTCTAGCAAGATCCATTTATGTCGATCAAACGCGATTTGTTCAGCTCTGCGCGGATCTCGAATCTTCTCCTTTTTTCAATACCACACGCGAGACGAATGAATAAAGAGGAACGACCTGTAATCCGTCGTTCGTTTCTTGAATGCGCATGCAAATTGCGCGGCGATAAAAATAAATTTCGCAACGCAAAGCGAGCTCTCGCGATGGTTTAATACAATGGGAAACGTTACGGCAACTCACTCTTACTTGTGTATACGGAGTTAATATTACAGCCTTCTTTCTTTTGTTCATTGAAGGGGGAAGACCTTGAACCGCGACGTGACTTTTACCTAAGCGCAGCTCCTCGGGCTATTTTACAACGAGCAGGTACATACATACATACATACATACAATGCTTATTCGTGGCTTCAATATGGTGTATAATTTGTCGCGAGGGTATTCAGGAGGATCGTTTCGAACCAGGAATGTCTTCATCGTTCGGGCAAACGAACGTATTCGCTTAAATAGAATCGGTCTATTGTCATTGAAAAGCAGTGAATAGTCACTGATGTTCTTTCTATCTCAGTTAGAAAGTAGAACACTGTGGATCAATGAAATCTCATTGAAAGAATTATCAATTTGTGGCTACTTTAATCAGTATATTTGAAAATGTGTCTTATATAGTATAAAATATATTTTTTTGCAATATATATTTTGTTAAAAAATATTTAATCAAGAGTCTCGTTTATTTTTTGTATCTTAAGGTATATCTTAAGAAAAAAAATATTATATAGAATTCTGAATTTTTCAATATTAATTTTATGTTTCATTCTAGAGATGTTGTGTAAGAATTTTTCTTCCTCCTTCTCAAAAAAGTTAGCAAGTTAAAATAAAGAAAAATAAAAAAATTTTAATTTATTATCTTGCAAATATGTATGATCTTGATACCATCATCAGTGACAATACTGCAAGTCAATGAAATATCCGTTGATTTTGTGTCACCGTATATTAATCCGTCTGTCAATGAGCTGGTGCCGAAAATCATTTGAAATGTAAAAATTGTGCCGAAACTGTCTCTCCGCCCGAGACAAAATACAAAGAGCCTTTGTATTCAAAGACCTCCTAAAATATAACGAGAAGGAATGTTTCATGCTATAAAAAAATGGTCAAAAAATTGGCAATGTGTCAAACAAAATTATGCATTGACAGAAGGGTTAATCAGTGACATTTCAAGATTATATCATAGTTTCACCTGGTATCTGTGAAGGGTATCGATGGCCCTCTGTCTTCCATCCTGGCTGTAGACGCAGAGAGCCGACAGTAACTCCACGACTCTCTTCTTCACGGACGGACACGCCGTTTCCAACGCTGCAATCCGAGATATCCAGGATTAGGTATAAGTTAATGATTTTTTAAACCAAGTTATGTATGTTAAAGTTAGTTGCTTATAAAATTAATTTAGTTAAGTTAAAAGTTGCATGGACAAAAAATTAACTCAGTTAAAGTTAAGTTAAGATTAAATTAACTGAAATTAAATCAAAAGTTTATTTTTAAAAACCTTAATTATTTATATTAAATTAGAATTTATTTTTTGGTAATTACAATTGATGACAAATAAATATAAAAATTAATAATAACTACTTTAATTTAAAAATAATACGTTTATAACTTATAAAAAAACAATAATGGTATTCGGAGATAAAAAAAATGTAACTTAAGAAAAAAGTTAATAAGTTTAAGGTCAAAAATAACTATTGTAGTTGAAGTTAAAAATTAATATATTTTAAATCAACTAAGTTAAGTTCAAAGTTATTAACTTTTTAACTTGTTTTTTGCTCTTACAAATTAACTAGTTGTTACCCAACCCTGGGTGGATCATTATGGCATCGGAAACGCTGATTATAATTTACCTGAGGCGAGCTTGACGCAATAATCAGGATTATCCACGATGTAGTCGAGTCCGACATGGGAATCCATGATGCTGGCTGCTGCATCTGCGGATGCTGCGCTTCCAGTCTGCAACAGTAGTAAAAGGATTAGTTGGGTCGGCAATATAACGTCCTTTTGTTAGACACTATAAATAATTTAATAATTTATAATAAATAAATTTAACAATTTATAATAAATAAATTCAATAACTTATAATAAATAAATTTAATAATTGAAGAAATAAATAAATAATCAATTAATTATCGCATTCGAACCTAATTATTTATGGTCGCTATTAACGACAGGGATATATAAGTTGTGAGATAATCACGTATTTTGTCGGTGAAAAAAATCGCGTCGATCGAGATATTAATCGCTCCAGACAAATCCAAATGCACACACGTGCGTCTGATTTATAACGCGTATTTGCCAGCGCTTGTGTTTTTTGTGCAATAAAATGCTAATTATATTCCGGTGTCGACTGTATCTGCGAAAGGATACGACACGCGTCGTGCGTTATCGCATATTTCCTCTTAATATCCCATTAAAACGAGACGCCACCGCTATTAGAAATAGATATTACTGCGTGGTAAATGCGCAACGCTAGTTAAAGTTTCGCAACAAAACTTTTCTTACCGTAATTAATACGGCGACGTATAGGGACGTCCATAAACGCGCTTCTAGAGTCTCAATTAAGCCATTTCGCGCCTTTTAGATCTCGAAAATCCGATTTCACGCCATCGGAAAAATATCAAATTTTGATGAAATCATTAATACAGAGCATATACGAAGTAACTTTATAATTTTCTAGACTTCAGATTTTATCCTTCTCACTTTTTTCTATTTTTATTACTTTCAAGTAATTAACAAATATTTAAAAAATATTAAATAAAAATATTAAAAATATTAACAAATAATAAAAATCGATCTCTTGCAGAAAACTCGTAGGAGGGATTGAAGAAAAATGTAAATGAGATCCTACAAAAAAAAATACGCTAGCCACATCTTAATGAAGAGCCGACCACAGTCGCAATTCAAAAAAAAAAAAAAAAGAAAAAACCATTCGTGTTTGTCTCTTTCGTCCCGACTCTGACTCAATCGAGCAAAAAAGCAAACTTCCTAAGCGACGAGGACTGTGATCGCTTTGTATTAAAGCGTGAAAACGCTTCATTTACGGCGGAAAGATTAATGATTTCTGGACTAGACAGAGCTCTCTTCTCATAAAACGTCAAATTCGCAATAACAAGTGGAGTGGAGCGAGGTCTCAAAGAGTGAGGTCTAGGTTGAAAACGTGTGCGTGCCTGGACATAAGTGCCGAAGCTGATTGTAAATTGTAAGCTCCTTAGACGAGTTTCGCTATTTCGTCATCAGAAGAAAAAGCGGATCAGAGACTGAGAAAAGAAATGAAACCTCTCTCCTATACATAGTATGCAAATTTGCTACTATTGAATTGATAAATCAGAGTTCCGTTTTATTTACAGCATTTTTATCTTTCACATTATTTATCATATGCAGGGTGTTCCTAAATAAATGTGAAACATTTTAGAAGTTACACTTCTTCAAAGGGGAGCTTAAAATTAGGTTTTTTTAAATTTTAAGTTTACGGCAAGATTAAAAAAATATTAATAAATATTATATTTATTTTACCGCAGTGGAAAATATCCATCAAATTTCATTTTTTTAATTGTCCAAAGTTTGAAAAAACAAATTAAAACCCTAATTTTCACCCCCTCCTTTGGAGGAGTGTAATTCTTCAGGAAAGAAATATATGTTTCAAAGACAAAGAATCACATTTCCTAAAGTTTTTCGCATTTATTTAGGAACATCTGTGTATATATAGATTCTCTATTATTAAACTATACAACTTTGACCTCAATTCAGACGGTATCTATTAATTTCTCGAAGAATTTTGGAGGAAATTCGATGCAAATGTTTGTCAAAAATTGTATATGAAATTTTATATTATAATACACAATTTTATATAAAATTTCATATTATAATAATATTTTATATTATAATAATATATAATATAATATATAATATAAAATATTATAATATAAATAAATTATATTACAATAGAAAAAAATATATTTTCTCTTATAATATATTTTATTTATATTGTAATATAATTTATTTATATTATAATAATATTTTTATCATATTAATATTATATATTATTATAATATTATGAATATTTTATATTATAATAATATAATATAATATTTTATATTATAATACACAATTTTATATAAAATGTTATATATATTTAATATAAATAATTTTGACATAAAGTTTATTGTATATTATAACTGTCAATAATGAAACAATGAAATGAGCGTGCTCATTAGACTCTCGCGAATTCTTTGAAAGAGTTTAAGATATATTACATGCTAGTCACCATTCGCGAATACCGGTATCACGTCCCACCGGATATAGGCAGTTAACGGAAAGGAGCGAGACAGTCATTGTGACGTAGGAACGAAGTGAGAGTGCGTAGGAAAATGAGGAGAAGGAGCGACAGGCTGAGTAGAGTTTCGATAGTAGCGAGATAGGTAGCGACGGGATCAAGATAAATGTACATACATATGCACACGTGTGTATATTTATTCATTACATCGATCGATTCGATATCTGCGCGTACAGAACGTTCCAAAAGAATCGAGCGGATTAAAGCCCTTCCTAGCTCTTTAAGGACCTTCGATTTTTTGTAATAAAATTTTTTCCCTTGCGATAAAAAAAAATTAAATTTTTTTCTGGCAATAAAAAAGTCTACATTTTCTTTCTCTTTTTAATCATCACATCGATCGATTCGATAACTGCACGTACAGAACGTTCCAAAAAAGAATCGAGTGAATCCTTTTTAAGGATCTTAGATTTTTTGTAATATAAAAATTATTTTTTGCGATGAAAAAAAATTAAATCTTTTTTCAATTAAATTAAATTTGTAATAAAATAAAATAAAATAAAATAAAATTATATAAAAAATAAAATAAAAAATATAAATAAAATTATTTAAAAAATAAAATAAAATTAAATTTGTAATAAAAATATTTAAATTTTTTTCTCGAAATAAAGAAATTGTTTCCTCTTAATATGAAGAAAGTTGGCGCGATTCTCGCTGGACGTGAGAGAAGAAGAGCGGCAGGAAAGGAAATATAAGGGGAAAGACCATACGATTGCGTCACCAGGCACATGCACATACCTCGCTCTAGTCACGCTTAAAAATAGACCGGTTCGAATATTAAGGACCCAACGAGAGAGGAGACACTGGTCAACCCTCCCTCTCTCAAAGGCAGGCTGTACCGGCTGCTGCAGGTCCGAATATAACGCGATATGCAGGTATAGAGATGAGATGCATCGCGATGAGAGAGAGATGATTCACGCGAGTGCGTTCGAGCTGTAAGCTAAACGCACTTAATACGAGGAGCTTCCTCGGCTGCGGGAGATATCCATCCATTCCTCCTCCTTGACGACGACCTCGAGCGCGTGCTCGTTTACGTCCGCTGCCCATCTTAGGAAGACCGCGGACTCTTTTAAAGGTGCAAGAAAAAAAAGAGGAGCGGTCTAGTTTCTTTTCTTCTTCGGACGTGTCTGTAACGTTGTCCGAAGAGGATCGTCTCGTTAATTAAATCCTTATTCGCGCGCGAAGGAATGAAAATTGAGTTCTGCGAGCGATAGATTTCTCCCGGGAGGTAAAGTGTCATCTTGCGGCACAATATTTCTTTCTTTTATAATATAAGTGGGTATTTGATTAAAAATCTGAAGTATTAATCCAAATAGCAAACTGACGTCATTAAACGTCAAAGTGATGTTATTTTGACGTTTAATGACAGATCAATCTGATAAGGTTTCGCTCAATGTACTTGTAAAATCTAACAATATCGTAGACAATTTCCAAATAATAAACTGGCGTCATTAAACGTCAAAATGACGTCATTTTGACATTTAATGACAGATCAATCCGATAAGGGTTTGCCCGATGCACTTATAAAATCTGATATCATGGACAATTTTCAGATAACAAACTGACGTCATTAAACGTCAAAATGACGTTATGAAACGTCAAAATGACGTCATTTTGACATTTAATGACAGATCAATCCGATAAGGGTTTTCCCGATGCACTTATAAAATCTGATATCATAGACAATTCTCAGATAACAAACTGACGTCATTAAACGTCAAAATGGTGTCATTAAACGTCAAAATGACGTCATTTTGACATTTAATGACAGATCAATTCAATAATTTGCTCGATGTACGAGTAAAATTTGATAATATCATAGACAATTCCCAGATAACAAACCGACGTTATTAAACGTCAAAATGACGTCATTTTGGCGTTTAATGACATCAGTTTGGGAATTGTCTATAATTATCAGATTTTACAAGTACATTGGACAAACCCTTCTCGGATCGATCTGTTTTCATTCGTTTCTCTGGACATCACCTTGCCAAGGAATGATAATAAACCACCACGGATGAGACTAGAAAATTATAATTACGTAGCCGTATGAATTAAGCGCGCATCGCGCCAATTATGGACATCGGGGACGGGAACGGATGCGAAGGCACTTTTCTTCACCTCGCACATTCGCGTTTCTTGCGCAAAGACGCATATATATATATTTTTTTTTTTTTTTTAAAGAAGAGAAAAAGAGAATCGCGGACCAGAGTGCGGATGTACGAAAAAAAATTGCATTCGGCAGGTTAGCGGTAGCCGTTGCGGTGATCGCTGCTAATTGTAAAGCAGGCGTAGGCAGACGTATGTATATGTATGTGTTTATGTATACACACGCACGTTCGTCACGCGTGTAAAGTAAAATGGCACTCCGGACGGTCGCGGGATACCATATCGGGCACCTTGTTGACCTCGCTTCTCTTCTCTCTCTTTCTTTCTCTCGTTCACCTGGCCCCTGATCGTTCTGTCCTCCTGCAGAGAGGCGCAACATCGTGATCTTTCGAAGGGAATTTCGGATGTCGCTCTTCAACTTCGTCACGCATCGGCAGAATATCTATGCGACTTAAATTTCGCGATTCCTGAGAAAAAATGACAAGGACGGCTTAGAACGGATTTCGCTATATTA